TACAGTGCCGCAAAGATTGTTCCTTCTTGCAGGAACAAAGAAGGAGCTCCTAGCAGAATGTTGGTGGTTTAGGATTATGTGTTATTGAACAAGAATGATCATCCCATTGAGTATAAATGTTATTTTAATAATCATTTGGCAGGATTAAAAATAATTTTTGTCTGCTGGAGAGGGCCGACCTTCACCGCTGCGTCGGCGATGCCATGATTTTCATCCGCTGCCACCTGCCAGGATAGGCAAGAAAGCAAGTGCCTCCTCGTGGTGCTGGGAAAACTAAACCTGCTTGTCAGGCGAGGTTCCAGTCCGTCCACCATGAGGATATCTGGAGTTCTGGACTCGCTTATGTACCATGAATTTTTGATGGATATGTTTTTGAGGTTCAGTCTCCCCTTTATTTTGTGGTTCTTCTTTGAGCAATTGAACAGCTTGTTGATTAGATTTTATTTTGATTTGCAGGTACAAGGTTCAGCCCATAACTCTTTACATGGAAATCTTCCATTGGTGTGCCATGCGCCGGACGAGCCAGCACAAGTGACCAAAAGGACTTTCCCAATGGCAAGCAGGGCATTGCCGGCCTATCTTCCTGGTTAAGTGTGCACTTTGCTTGTTTCCTTCACATTATTCAGGCTTTGATTTACTTAGCCACGTGCGTTTCGTGTATTTGATGCAGCACATAGAACAGTCAAGCACTTGATGGTTTTTATTTTCTGTGTATGAGGACAACATGTACTCACTATAACAGATGCCATCAATCTTCATACTAGAAAGAGCTTCATGTGAAGCTTACCATTTACTGTTCACTTCTTAATAGTTGGATCATTCAGTTTAGGAATATACGAGGCATTGGACTTGATTGATGGACCGATGGAGGATCTGATTACCTTGGCAGATGTGATCTCAATGTTATTTCACTTACCATCCTTTTTATTGAGACTGAAGATATTCTACAAGTATTCACTTCTATTGCAGTGTCTCTACCCGAAGTTCATCCATGGCTACTGGACTGGTTAATTAGTGTCCTTCCTGCCAAGATTCACCATTGACGTTATCTATTTGATTTGTGTAATCCACTATACAAGCAAAATTGCTTTTTCCCTTTCAAAATAAACTGTGTAGTGCACATCCAGCATAGGTAAGTCTTCTATATTCTTTCATTTGAATGGAATTCACACAAACAAAAAAAATGACAATCTATGTGAGAAGAATGGCAGTCTGATGACTTCAAATTTTTCCACTTCCAGATTGTGCCAATCTTAGCTCACATCGGCAACTCTATTCGTCATATTCTATATGGATTCCCTCTACTGATTCTATATATAATAAATAAAAAATTCAGTTTATCCATTATAAATAAATTATAATCCTCAGAATTTCTTTATATATTTGCTTTCAGGTTTGGGGACAATGGTCTTTTGCTTAGATAGTAAGCTAAAGTGACGATATAGTATTTCTCCTCTGGCATCTGGGTCTACTTTTGTTCCGACAACTCATACTTTGCCAATCTTCTTGTTTTTGCATTCCTTTTCATTTGCTTCAATTTTGCAGTTTTTCTTTACATGCCAATTATGGCTATATGAATAGCAGTAATGTTTTTTTAATCTAGAATTGTGGCTGTCTTTGTGATTTTCTATAAAACCCAAAAAACTTGCATAGCAGCCAAACCATTCTTACGTAGCGCAAGATATCAATATTCATAATTGCAAGGAAGACTTACATCATTCATTTTAAGTAGTCTTCCAAAATAATTAGATAGAGATTTAACCATCTATTAAAAGAACAAGTTGCTAGGGCAGACTCCCTTTTTGATCATGTACCTTTGATGTAGCTACTAATTCATGATTAGGCATGTACAGACGGAAAACTTCATTCTCGACTCTATAAGATTTTTTATGGAAGTGTTTCATTTGCTTCTCCCCAGCGGAAGTTTCATTTTCCCATACCTTTTGAAATTGCATATTTTTTTACGACAACCAAAGGTTTGAGATGTTCTTTGCTTTTTTATGACGTGCTTCTGCAAAATGCACCATTCAGAAGGATCAAAAGTTGATAATGCGAAAAATGCTTTCAAACTTCATTCTCGATTCTATAACATTTTTATGGAAGTGTTTCATTTGCTTCTCCCCAGTGGAAGTTTCATTTTCCCATACCTTTTGAAATTGCATATTTTTATACGACAACCAAAGGTTTGAGATGTTCTTTGCTTTTTTTATGATGTGCTTCTGCAAAATGCACCATTCAGAAGGATCAAAAGTTGACAATGTGAAAAATTCTTTCATGATGTTAGTCTTTAAAGTTGTATTTGATCTATGACTCCTTTATAATTGATCTAGGGACTTATTCGCAAAAACATGTGTTGACATTATTAGTGCCCTGTATTGTAACCACTTATTTGTATGGTGTAACTATTTACCTTTTTTTATCTCGACTCTTTTGAGAATGTTCAAATTTGTAAACCAAATTCATCCAGTCATTTATATTAAGATTAAGATATTATAATTATAGGTGATGATTTTTTTCACTTATTGTTGACCTGCCATTTTTCCGTATCATTCATAAGTTGTCAGATAACATATGTCAATAACCGGAGCAAGAGGAGAAATGCAACTATAAGTGATGTGCAGTATAAGCTAGGAACAAGAAAAAGAAGTAAATATCTCATCTTCTGCAACAAAAAAGAGAGTGAAGAACATTACCATCCCGTTCTCCAGCATCACCTCCCAATTTAGTTATCAAGTATCTTTATGTTATGAAACCTCCTTTCATCATATTGCCAAAAGAGATGGGCGCGACAACGCGCGCCATCCATGATCTAGGAATATATTGTGAGGGAGAGACTTGGAGTAGAGGGCAAGTCGTACATGTTAAACCTATTCCATCTCTAACTCCTACCTCTATCTTAAACACAATTATATTCTAACATTCCCCCTCAGTCGTAGCGGGAGTGAAGCAGACGATTGTGACTGAATTTGTAGTCTTGCACTTTCGTCGTCTTCTCCACTGCGCCATCATCAACTGCGTCTCTGATGGGTCGACACCTAGGGCGGTGACTGCGTCCCCTTCTGGTGCCTTCCTTGTTTGTCCTCTCTTCCCGCCCGCAGTCACAGCGGGAGTGAGGTGGACGCTAGTGACGACGCAGACGCTGTTGACTGGAGTTGTCGCCGATGAGTTGCTGTAGACGTAGCCATAAATGTCGATGTCGAGGTAGCCAATCATTGTGATATAGCCGTGGTCGAGGTAGTCATGGTCGATGGTGTAGTCGTCGTGGATGATGAAGCCGCACAAAGCCGGAGGCGCAAAAAAAATGCGCTATGACGGTGATGCAGACATGGACGATGCACCTTGCGGATGTCAGAGGGTGCTGTCGGCGATGAATCCACTGGTTTTGCCAAGAACGGAGGAAGCCCGTCGAGCACACATCGGTTTTGCCAGAACCGTGTGGCTGTGTAGGGTCGTCGCTGTAGTGACGCCGTGTCGATGCAGTCGTGCCGTCGTGGATGACACGGTCGATGCCGTCGTCGTGACGCGGGCATTGCCGTCATCGAGGTCGCGTCTTGCAGAAAATTCTGTCAAAGCACGCTAGGTGTGCATCTTGTGGACAAGGTGGCGGCGGTGTGTTGAGAAGATGTTGATGAGGACCACGTTGATGGAGACCTTGGCGATGAAGTGTCGGCGATGGGGATGCAGCGGCAGGTCGACGATGATGCGCCGCGTTGGAGGTGTCCCTCGTGGCGACGAAGTGTCGATGTCGTGCTGTGTCGAGTAAGTATGTTGGCTCGTAGCCTGGCGTAGTCGGACAGCTTGATGTCGTTCGGCTCGATGCAGAGGCGTCGGTGTAGCTGTGCATGCAGTACAGATCGGCGACGACGGTCGATGCAGCCATGCAGAAGATGATGTAACTCGGCTCGGGTTGTAGCGGTTGCTGTAGACGATGGTGTCGCGGGAGTCGTTGCAGATTGCTCGGTGCTGGAGGTGGTGCGCTGTCGTCTGTAGCACGCGCGTTGACGAAGCCATGTTGCGGTACGGGATGTCGATGACAAACTGGTGTGAAGCCGCACAATTGCCGCGTGAAGCTGAACCACTGCGGAGATCTCATCGTAGCTTTGCATGGCATGAGCGTGCATGCCTGATCTGAGTACAGGAGCACAGGAGCACCTCAGATCGAGTAGCCCCTGGTTCCGATGGGATCGGGACGATGCTCAAATCGGTGTGCTTGCCTGAGGACGCCGCATACGCGTTCTGGCGCACGTAGTTTGCCAGCAGCGATGATAACCTTGGTCGCGTGCGTGTCACGATCACATCACCGGACGGAGGCCCGTTGTGGATGCCGGCGTAGCTCATGTGGAGGTGCATCCGATGCATGCGGGTTGACGAAGTAGGGGCCGGCATCCGGGGTGGCTGTTTGTCGATGCAGATCGGATCGAGTCCATGTGACTCGCCGGGTGTCCAACTATCGATGCGCTTGTACGCCCGTGGCGGTGATGTAGATCGCGTCGGGGAGGTGTCTGGCTGATGTGCTCGTCCGACGAAGTTGTGCGTCGCTCGGACGTCAGGCGGGCCGTCGCTGGTCGCGGACCCTCCTGGCCTGCGCGTAGCTTGTCGAGCTTGACGTCGAGCCGGCCGTCGAGGGAGTACTGCCCGCCTCCTGCGCGTGGATTCGGGTCAGATTGGATCTGAAGGATCCGATGAAGACGCCCCGGAGTCCCGTCTCCTATTAAACTAGTTTTCTGCGTCTTTTTGCTTCCACTAGTTAGTACTTGTCCCACTCGGTTCGCTTAAGTTGCCTCATGTTTTTTTCAAGCAACTACGTTCCAGTTTTCTGCGTCTTTTTGTTGAATTTGTTATCCGATTCTGGTGATCCGATGTGAACTGCAGCTAGCTAGCTGTGTGGTGCTAGTTGTCGTTGGCTCGTTGCACATGGACTCAAGCAGGATGGCGGCAATGCCATTTTGCTACTGCCATGCTTTTTCTTTCTTTGAGATGAGATGTAGGATTTGAGTTGGCTAACATTTCAAATATTGCGGGTTACTCCCTTTGTTTCTAAATACAAGTCTTTTTTAGAGATTTCAATACGAACTACATACGGATGTATATAAATATTTTTTAGAGTAGATTCACTCATTTTTCTCCGTATGTAGTCCGTATTAGAATCTCTAAAAAGACTTATACTTAGGAACGGAGGGAGTAGTTTTGAAGAAATCAAAAGGTCTCACTTATTATTTCTGGCAAAAAAAGAAGATGAATAGTTTTGGTTCTAATGATCAGGAACAGGGATAGGTGAACCAATTGAGATTAGCCTGGATCTACCGCTGCATGTTGAGATTAGCAAACCTTTTGTATTAGTGCTGCGATTAAGTGAAACATGTTTCGAGGTGACTCATTTTGCATGGATTTTTTCTGAATTTCCATCTGGTTCCGAACTCGGAATTTAGAGGCCTCCTTCTGACGAATGGATGTTGAATCCCATGAGTGTGACCTGGGAGTTGGAAGATGCTCCTTCCTGTATGCTGAATTGAAACTGCCTACCTGGTGCTTGGGATTCAATAACCTTTGCTTTGAGATTCACAAACTTTTTGCATGAGTGGTGTGATGGAGAATCTTCATACTTCCCAAAGTTTAGATAAAGCTCACATGTCTATCTTTCTGTGAGTAGTGGCCTAACAAACTGAAACGTTTTTCATGCTAACTTCCCTCTGTTATCTTATCTCTGGACAGGTAAGATAGAGTGACTTTGCTTCAGTCCAATAGTCGGACGCGCTTACTTGCTTGATGGCCGTGCATTCTGTGAGTTTATGAGTTCAACATTTGCGAAGAAGAAAAAAGGTCTCACTTATTCCTGGCAAAAGCTGAATAATCTGGCAAAAACTTTTGCTCAGGTGATGTGATTAAGCAAAACATGGTTTGTAACATACATAAACGGATTAACACCAGTTACCTTTCCAGTGAGAGTGCAAGCACAAATGGTTAGGTTAGTGGTAGGGACAAGGGACAAAGGAATTATCAGTTGACAGACGCTGTGATTAAGTAAAACTGAGCAGAGCTCTAGTTTTATTTCTTTGGATGTCCACAGGTGACGACGTTGGTGAACACAAAGGATTATCATCGGTACCTCTTTTCTTCGGGAGGGGATTATCAATTGGTAAAATTATCACTGCCATTTTTAGCATACCATTATCAGTTGTTGTTGTCACCGTCGTTGTCGTTGGGGAATAAGATACGTCATTTTTGATATAATGTCCTGTCTTGTGTCACCGAAAGGTCGCCCGGACTCTAATGTGAGTCATATAAGCCAAACCCTTTTACTGAGGAGACACTGTCCGTTGCTTATCATGCTATTTCACTGGTCCAAAAGAGGCCCTAGATCTGTTCTGTAAAGGAAATGGATTCTTCAAATTTGAGATTATCCTCCGGTTATATCAACACAATCCGTGACACCAGTTGCCTCTGCAATAGCAGCGTGAGAACAAAATGTAGTGGCATAACCTTCTATGTTGATGCGTCTCACCGACACGGTTGTACACGAGTGATACCGGTAATAAGATGATCACCAATTGCGTCTTTTTATGGCAAGATCACAAATTATCCCTTTTTAGATTAAGGTTATCACTTTATCAGTAGCTTGATCAGTAGAGCACCGTATTATTTACTGGGAGAACTTGTGTTTGTAATCTTTTTTTTAGGAACTTGTGTTTGTAATCTGACAGTGATATCACTGTAGAAAACATTAAAAAATCTATCACGCTACATGCATGATCAATTCCGTGTTGGGGAATAACATGGTTGTGCATTTGTCTGACTCACAACACAATTCCCCTAGGAAGAAAAAGAGAGAATACAACAGCATTGGAATTATAAAGGAATTGCAGTAACCATGTAAGTACTCTTCAGTGGGGTTACACAGGACCATTACTTGAAGGTGACAAGTGGAGATCCCGCGGTCCTGAAGTAGTCAGCCAGATCAATATTCAGGTCGTTGTACATGCTCAGGAATGGATGAGCCTGGGTGTCAGAGGAAACAGATAGAAGAAATGGGTAAAGATCAGTGGCTTGCTGTGTCAAATGACGCTTTCGGACGAACATACAAACTGTGAAGCCGACAGAAATTTCCTTACTGATAGGATTTGTGCAGATGACCTATTTGTAGCCTCTTTTTGCATGCTGAAAAATTCAGAAAGAAATTAAGAGAATAGATATTAGCCTTCTTTTGGACACTGATTTCCAGTAAATAAAATAAGGAAATCAGTTGATCTGTCCACAGATGAAGGTGACTAGGTGAGTGCAACAAAAAGAAACATGTGATGATGTTGGCATGCATATTCCAGCGCAGGAATTTTGGCGTGAGAATCACTACTTGACAGGCAAAAGGTAGAAAAACCACTATGATAACTAAGCTCACAGTTTAAATCTTAACAAATTGCAAATATTGCTCAAGTATTGTTGATTAACAGGGAGGAGGGGGGCAATGGAGAAGCACAAATACCACGCAGAAATGAATGAACAGAACTCTGGTGAAAACTGGTCTGATGGTGCAGAAGGTGATGGTTGGTCGACAACAGCTTCAAGAAGTTCATAAAAGCTATCACGAGGAGGATATGGGAAATTGCCAGTGGCACATTCCAGCATAACTAGGCCCAAGCTCCATATGTCACTCATATAACCATGTTTCTGCCCGCTGATTCTTTCTGGCTGTCAAGAGTATACATTTTAGATTCGTTAGCTGAAACAAAAAATGGTGGACGTCTTTTCATGCCACACTGGAAGACATGCTTACATAATTCAAACAAACTTTCACGCACCGCCATGTAGTTAAATATGCCAGTAAATATATCTCGCTGTGTAGAAGAACTAGAAATGATGGCACTAACACCAAAATCTGATATCTTTACTTCACCCCTATGATTTATTAATATATTTGATGGTTTCAGATCTCGGTGTATAATGCGCTTCTCATGATGCAAGTACATCAGTCCTTTCAACACCTGCACGAGGAAGTAAAAATTATCGATTGAAAAGGTCTATTTGATCTTAAGGTGAAAAAAAAAACATTCTGATAATAACAAAAAACTATGTGGTTACTTATGTGTCATTTTACTGGCCTGCTTACAAATTGCAGCAAGGTAGGCCTCTGGAACGGTTCTAACAGTCATCAGGAAATCAGCCAGAGAGCCTCCATCCATATACTCCAAAGCAATAGAAATGACACCATTGACATAGAAACACTGATAGCATGTGACAACATATTGACACTGTGTTGACAAACTTATTTTCAACTCCTGGGCAAGTTGCTTGCGTATGCTTTCCTGAATATTGAGTTGTATAACCTGCAAACATGAAAGTCACATGAATTGGGGTAAAGACCCTAGGCAAAATATCAGAGATTATAACTACCACTATAGTTTCTACTTCCTACAGAAAGAAATAGAAGGAACCAAAATTATAAATCATCAAATACTTTATTTTTTGGGCAATACCTTGAGAGCAAAAAACTGGCCAGTCCATTTCTGGCGCACCAATTGCACGGTTCCACTACTACTTTTCCCAATCACTTTGATTACTTCCAGATCATGTATGCTCAACTGATGGTTATCTAACGGCTCTATAGGAGGAGCCTAGAGAAGTCGAGTATGGCAACGGAAAGAAGGCGAGACACAAGTTAGATGAATGAAGAGCATAACAAGTTAAGAACAACAATGTAATTAGACAATTCCCACAAGAAATGGTGTTAAACAGCAATCTTCCACTATAAGCAAGTGAGCATCGGCATTCAGGATAAATTTAACCATTGGATACATCATAAATTACTTCTGTAATAACTGCATTTGCGGATATCCCACATGAAAATCACCTATGTATTCCCTCCGCATGGAATTAGTTGACGCACAAACGGATGTATCTCGCATTGAAATACGTCTAGATAGATCCGTTTGAGCACTAATCCCGGACGAAGGAAATACATAGTATCATCTGTCCTAAATTGTTGTTCTGAAAAAGAATACGAAACCCCTGCTCCGTACCTGCTAATCCAACCACACATCCTAATATCTAAATATGTTCACGTCATCAATGAAATTACGAAAACCAATACAACTACCAATATGCCGAGCGCAGCCCTACGTTCTTTTCCTATGAACGGCTAAGACCAGACGCGTGGAGGAATTTTTCATCTGAGTGCCCGGTCATGTTTTAGTGGCTTACCTCGCCTTCCTCGGTCTGCGGGGTGATGCGGAGGCCGTCCTTGTTGACGAGCAGGTTGCCGTCGCCGTCCTTGAACATCCCGATCTGCATCCTGTCCCCGTCCCGCGCTGGAGCCCAGCTGACCACAACCACCGTGAAATCAAATCAATCAGCACGACTGCAAGAGCAATACGTCCAATGAAAACAAAAATGGCGAAAGAAGAGGGGTGAGGGTTTGAGGTTACAAGAATCTGCCCATGGTGGACTCGTGGGAGGGGAGAGCGATCTTTCCCGGCTTCTTCAACAGCAGCGGCGGTGTAGGGCTCCCTCGCCGGGGTGAGTGGATGGATGAGTCTTCGTCCGCCTCATCTTTGCTCTGCTTTTTCTGGAATTAAGCATTACGGTACCAGTATAAATGGCTGGCAAAATTGGCAGTTTGGCATAATTGGTCAACGGCTTGAAAAAATATACATAGTGCACAATAAGGCGGCATGTACATACATACATAGGATGTGTAGACAAAAATAAACGTACAATTGCAATCTATCTTAATCAAACAAACCTGTAGTAAGATTCTTAAGAATTAAAGCCCTCTACAATCCTTTGAATTTTAAGAGGATTCTACTGAGACTGCAAAAGTGGTATTCTATCCCAAGACCAAAGCTTTTCATGCTAACGGCATGATCCAGTTTGGGAGGCGCAAGACGGCGCCGAATCCACCCACACATCCACTACTGATTCAGCTAGATGAAAATACTGCGGAAAATGCAAGTCCCGGCTCCTCTCTGCTACGGTAAGCAAGCAATCATCTTAAAAAAGTTAAAACCGGCTATAGCCACCAAAAAGAAGTGGTGTGCTACATGAAAAGCTTGTCTATATGACAAGTCTAGTGAGAAGAGAAGCTCACTTTCGAAAGCCGCAATATTTGTGATGTCTTATTTTCTCGTCCGGCTAAGTAAAATTTCTATACTCTGATCATTTTTAAAGATGGATAAAAAACCGTTATTCTAGGCCCTATGTGAAAAGCTTGTTTGTTTACCATAGCAAGGCTAGTAAGAATAAAGCACCCCGCAAAAAGAAAAACTGAGAAGAAAAGTTCATAAAGAGGTTTTGAACTTCCTAAAAGAAACCAAAAGATTGCGATTTTGCATAGTAAACACCTCATTGGAAACTCCAGCATCCTAGGCAACATGATGTGCGATTTCTCTGCAAACTGAACGACGTCATCTGTCTCTGGGGAAGCTCACACGGAAGCCGCCGTAACAGTGACACGAAGGCTTAGGACAGGCAGTTCTCACTATCAACCTCTCTTTCATCCCCAAGCACCCAGATTCCACAGCAAAAATCAACGGCTAGTCCAGCAAACCTGGCGTGTTGTGGTTCCTGTCCCCACGTTGACAGCTCTGGAATCTGGTGGCTGTACTAGGATCCTGCTATAAGAAGCCACTCTACAGAATCACTAGCTGCAGGCCCAGGAATGAGCCTGATTTTACTAGTACTACTGCCCCTGGAGTTAGTAAAAAAATTGGAACAGTTTATGCATATCATTTCCAACATATTCCCAGTGTGTGTGTGTG